TGTGTGTGTATTTTTTTGTTTGTGTGTGTTTGTGTGTTTGTTTGTTAATGTATGTGAATCTGGAAGTATAGTTAGAGCGGTTGTCTTGGGTGGTCGTTCTGCGGTGAGGCCAACAGAACGATCCGATGAGTAAATACGAGCAGAGGAGGCCGTGAGAGAGATAAAGAGACACGAGACGAGTGTAAACAGACTGAGTGGTAGGAAGTCTCGGATCAGACGTTTGAGGTCGATGCCATTTTGTGGAAAGAGGGAACCCTTGCAACGAAAATGAGAGAGAGAGAGAGAGAGAGAGAGAGAGAGAAGAGGAAGAGGGGGAGTGAGCACAAAGAGCGAAAGAGACAAAGGGACAGACAGACACATACATACAATGACAGAGGGAGAGAACGAGAGAGAGACAAAGAGAGAGAGAGAGAGCGAGAGAGAAAGAGAGAGATAGATAGATAGATAGATAGATAGATAGATAGAGAGAGAGAGAGAGAGAGAGAGAGTGAGAGAAAGGAGGGACGGTTTGAAAAGATCGCACACAATGAATATGGAAAGGCTATACACAATGGAATGGATAAGAAATAAAACAAATTTCTTTTTACTTTGAACAAACCTGCATTGCAACAACACCCCTCCCTCATTCCTACTCTCCCAAATCACAATACTTTTCATGGTCCAGACTAAGGGAAATTCCAGCAAGACAATGAATAAAAATACATTCATATAGCCCCTGCCAAGGCTCGATCCCCGACCTACCCTGTTCCCAAACCCAGTAGAATAAGATAGCACTATGAACTTCGTTGATTGGCAGACAATGTGTAATTAGGATAGGAAGCTCCATAATTAACTCCCTGCCCCCCCCCCCCTTCTGCCATCCGTCCCCCTTCCCTCCCGTGTTGGATTCTTACGAACATATCTTGAAATTAAGTTTGAATTGAGGAGATCCACCACATGAGCCATCGTGCTGTTTAAGTAGGGTACATAATATCCGACTTGTACCCAAAGAAATCAAAAGAAAGAAGAACACGATCGATACATTTGAATACATTAATTAATCATCTGCACATTTCTTCTTGTTTTCCCTAAAGC